TGGCTTGCACTGTTTTAGCTTGAAATGAACAGTCACCAATACCTTTCCATCCTTGGCAGGATGCATAGGAATGGAAGACTGTCACGTAACTCATTCCCTTCGGACAATAACAAAAACAATTCATATTCACATCAAAGTTAAAAATCGGATCCTTCAACGAAGAAATGAACTTCTGCAAAAACAAACAAAACTTGTTTCCTTTGGGAACAGTCACAAACACATGTTTCTTCCTTCTCAACTGCCACTCAATCACATTACAACATAGCAACCAAATAGAAGCTCTGTTCTGTTTGGGAGAAGGGTTGTTGATCACTACACAGTGGGGCTGCAAACTCTCCAGTTGCTGCCAAATACCATCTTGACCCTTCATAGTGGAAAAGTTGTATCCTGCCTTGAAATCCATAGGAGATGCAACTTTAACACCATTCTTTGAAAGGAACCAAGATAATCCACTGTTTCCATGAAGTAACTCAACAACATCAGGATGATCATCATTACAGAAGAAAAAGGACTGTTCTCCGAATTCGGCATCAACATACAGTTCGTGATCTTCACGCAAGTTCTCCGGATTCTCATTGTCTAATGCCGGTATGGAAACATCATGCCACTCATCGTGATCACGTCTAACCTTCGACTGATTCACACGTACTACTGCCTTACCAGTGTTGGCTTGGACCATAGCTCCTTCTTGTCCAAGTACTGTGGCACGAACCCAACGTCCTTTATCCTTGAACTTTGATGAATCCTGAGTCCAAACAAAAACCTTCTCTCCTTGGAAATAAGGACCGTCACTTGGCATAGTCCTTCTCGCAAGATCTGCTCGAAGGTCCTGAGCTTGTCGTGCTTCTTGATGAGCTCTCAAAGCCACACGTTGTAGTTCCAAATTTGTACGATCTTGTGCGGCGGCATTAGCTGACAATTGCTCAGGGCTTGCGGTCTCAAGGTCAAAAAGATCTGGTGGACGTCTTCCAGTTGCTATCTCTATTGGTGAATATCCACTGATAGTCAACTGACAATTTCTTGCCCAAACTACCTTCTTGACCACTTCTCTGACCGTAACACCACGAAAACGTGGGTCATCCAGATCTACCTTCATAACATGCCACATACGTTTGAACAAACGTACAGCTGTCTCTGCTCGGTTCGGCCAAGGAGTTCTTGGCCCACAAGGACATTGTTGTATACCATGGAACCTGTAGTATCCAACAAAAGCATCTGTGAAAAAGGCTTCGTCTCCTACGATGGCCTTTGGAACACAGTTGTTCTCATCAGACCATTGCCTCAATGCTTGGATGGTGGTTTGATCTATGAGGTCTTTCTGTGCCGTAGCCCAGAGAAGATTTGTGGCACCATCAAGAACAAGTAAGATGATATACTTGTTCTTGTGAAGTTCAACCTCACAATGATCAGCAAAAACAACATCACCAAAACATGAAGCTCTAATACCGGAGACTCTGGCTCGTGGCGGAGGTGCCACTGAAGTGTTACAAACACGGCAGTTCCTGACAACTGATTCATACTTCTCTAAAACAGAGTCAGGAAGCTTCAACATAGAAACACGTCTACGAAACTGAGTAGGACTCATATGGTAGTGCTTCACATGAAGCTTATAAAGCTCTACCTTGTCCTCCAGTCTCTGTAACATCTTCCTATATGCCGGTGTCATTGCAACAACTTCACTACCAGGTAATGGGATTGAAATCCGCCTAGGCTCAAGAGCGCCATCACCTGGTTCAAGTGGTTCATGTTTATCACTTGATGGTCCTTTTGATGCTTTAGGAATTTCTACAAGTTCACCTTCTGGCCTCTCAGGTGGTTCTGAGGGAGCATACTCCTCAAGATCATCACCCTTTAAATCATTCTGAGGCTCAGATGGTTTCGACTTGTGTCCTTTCCAAAATGGATCAAAACCCTTGGAAGTATACCGAAACTTTGGCGGCGCGGGCTTTTCCGCGGCACTGGATGGTGCACCTTCCTTCTCTGATGAGAAGCCTGGTCCCCTGTCCTTTGCAATGGGAACCTTCTCTGAGGAGGAGCGCACCACTGCATCGGGATCACCAATGCCACGGTGCTCAATGCCAGCCTTCCTGATCTTTAGATCTGGAATTTTGGCATCTGGCTTGAACTTAAAAATTGTTCTACCACGCCATTCATAGCCAATTTGTAGGTCCTTCCATTTTGCCTTGCGCCAATCATCTTGCTTCTTGATCTCTTCTCCACCTTTCTTCTTCTTGATGATTGTCAATCGCAAGTCTTCCAGTAAGTCAGTGTCTACAGGACAGGACTTAGTTGCTGGAAAAAGAATCTTTCTATAATCCTTGTGGTGACGTATCAGTTCTCTTTTGTGAACATCTACTTCCCAGTAGTCAACCACAGGATATGCATGTTCAGCTACATCTTCATCACTATTGAGGTCAACAGAAATATGACCATATTCATAGTGAGTGAAGTGAGAGTAAAAACTCCTCGCGCCGAGTCTGCAAATTCACGTCAGACAGATACCATGCAATATCTTGGAAGTCCAAGACAAGATGAGTACTGGCTGCAACCTTCAACTCCAAATATTTGATACCAAGAGGCACCGATGCCAGATAAGCATGTTGAGGTGTCAGCCTGAGTTCAAAGCCTAAGTTCCTCATCTGTGGCAAGCTCATAAGCAAAGGGACTTCTCCTTCTTCCACTATGTCGAACTCTGTATGGTGGATCGTCCATGCACGATCATACATGTAAATCACCAGTTTCTGAGAGCAAGTAGCCTTCTGGGAATTGGCAAAGTAAAACTTGCTCTTGGTAGCCTCAAAAGAGTACCATAATCCACAATCTGGGTGATTGTCGACATAGTTGCAAAAATGGTCGACTGCTCGCCTTGATCCCATAGCTCTAGTGCATCCAATGTCCAGGATTGCAATAGTCGGCGGGAAGCGATTCTCAGTCAAAAATGAAATGGCCTGCATCTCCTTCACTTCTTCCTCAGCGCTCATAAGCGCAAAGCCATCAGGAGCCTTTGTGAGCATCTCCTTTGACAAAGAGTACCTCACAGGGGCACTCATGCCATTGAAGATCGTCTCACCATTGTTGACCGCGCAGTCAGCTTCATCTTGACATGAGGTCATCATGCCTGACAGCAAGTCCACCTCACTGTCATGGACTTCAGCTGCTGCTGTCACACAATGTGCAAAGAAACCTTGTTGACCTCCTGATGCTTGTGAAGATCTTGAAGGTGCAGGTAAAGAACGTGGCTGTTGTGGATTTGCATAGTTTGCATCTTGTTTGCCATCTCCTTTATCTTTTCCTTTTCCTTTCTTGCCTTTTCTCTTGCCTTTTCCTTTTCCCTTGTGGGAAAACCATGCTTCTTCAAGCTGTTGCCAGAAGTCATTGGCATCATCATATTCTCCTTGAAGATAGTCATTCATATCCTCGGCAAGAATGGCATCATATGCTACTTGGTTTGACTCCCAAGTATCCTCATAAGGATTCTCTTCAAAGTACTCTTCTGGATATGTTGTCTGTTGCTCATCAGCAAAATGGCCTTTACCTCGTCTCTTTCCTTTTCCTTTTCCACGAGGTCTGAAGAATCTGCGGCCTGATCTTCCTTTTCCTTTTCCTTTTCTTCTTCCTTTTCCTTTGCCTTTTCTGGCTCTTCTTCCTTGGAATCTCCTTTGGAACCATGAGAAGTTTTGATCATCATATACCCAAAAGACATCGTCCAGGGCATCTAAAAATCCTTCAGTTCCATCTTCTTCATCTTCGGCCCAATAGCCAAGTGTACCATCGAGTTCTCCTTCGTCTAGTACGAGAAATGATCTTCTACCTCCAGCACCTGTCGGCTGCATCAAAGGATTGTCTACTGAAGTCTTTGTTGTGCAGAACATCTCGATGAACACTGTCCTCAACTCTGTTGTAGTATACTGCTGCAGGACCCTGCCACGATGAGTCATCAATGAAGTCAAAGTGTTTCGCTGGTCCTGAGACAAATCTGCAAGTGACAGCATGAGTAAGGCAATGAGATTTTCTCCTAGAGGAAATTCGTTCTGATGAAAGGTCCTCATGTTGCCATTGATGGTCTGCATGATTTCCTGAATCCTTTCTGCCGTTGGTGCTGTTCCAGTCAATGCTGCATCTGCCTGCATCTGAGCTAGGACTTGTGGATGTGCTTGAGTGACTGGTTCTAACATGTCCATCCAACTGCTCATAAGCCTTTGGAGTAAAATCTGGAATCTTGTCATCCATTTCATCATGTCAGCTGATCCTCGATTGAAGCGCACGAATTGCATGAACCTATACAGGAATACATTGGTTGATCCTTTCACGAAATATGGTCGTAGTACTCGTTTGAAATATTCTACGCCGGCTCCTGGTGGATCATTTGCCTTCAATGCATCTCTGTCTAAAACACGCTTGTATACAGCTGCTTCTCCTTCTAATCTGTTTCTCAATGCTGGTCCTCTTTTCTCATCTTCCAGCTCGGTGATATCACACCAATCGTCTATGGCATCCTCATAGGAAAACCATGAAGTCTTTCCATCATAAGATGGGGGCACCTTTGTAGTGACCTGTGTTGTCATTGCTATTGCTGCTGGTTCTCTTCTCACATGCCTATTCACGTAGGCTGCTGGCTCATAAGCCACATCCGCATCAGGCTCTTCCCAGTCGTCAATCCAATCCATGGCCGTTTGCCCACAAGCAATTCTATGCCTAGGAAAGGAGCTCACCTGGGTCTTCCAGGATCACTGCTCCGCTACCACTGAAAGAGTGACTAGGGCGTACACGGTAGAGGTGCAGACCGCTAGTGTCTTTTACTCACGCAGAGTCTTATCCTATATCTCTTTGAGCCTTGAAGCAGTCAAGCATGGACACACTATATCAGCTGTTGGAGTGGAACCCTGTACAGGTAGGCTCTACTTTTCAGGGGGGGACCCCGGGGGGGGGGGTTTATTAATCAAGGGACTACATTACGCAGCCTCAGAGCGAGAGCGCTTGCCCCCCCCCCCGCCCCCCGCCTTTTCGGGACATCCGTTGCGAAAGAGTCGGTAGATCTGGCGCGGCTCCGCACGCGTCGACTCTCGTCGGGGCCGCAGGAAGACGCCGAAAGCGGGGTTTGGCGTTCGAGGTCGAAGGCGGTCGAAGCCTGTGGTTGATGCAGCAAGGAGTGTCTCAACTCACAGCCATGCATATATGAGGTATATGATAGTCTTGACCATTCTTGTATGGCCGCAGTAAAGAAACTGCTTTCTCTACGACCTCTCAAACATGTTGATGGTGATAGCCCAGATGGCTTTGGAACGACTAATTATGTACTTTCCTTCTTTCTTTGAGTAATCCCAATTAATAGAAAAAAACACATTAAAAACACACACACACACACCTATTGATTGTGTCAACCCCGACCGCTTCCCTCGCCTGTCCGAAACCCGCCAACTGCTGAGCCATGGCACCAGTCACCTGGCTGCTGATGAGTTAAGACACCACATAGATATAAATCATGTCCACCAGATTTTGAGAGGGGTTTCCATGTTGTCAATCTTCAATCTATTTTGTGGGGTCACTAAATGGATACCTTCACGCGCTTCAGTTCTGAAGCCAACCCTCCTTCGTCCTAGCTCGGAACAAATAGAACTTCTTTATTATGTATTATGTGTAATTCCACAGATGGTGTGATGGAAGTGCCACCACTGGCTTCTCCTGGTTCATTGACATTCAGTGAGAAGGCCTTCAGACACCATCTGCCCAAAAACGACATTCGGCTCTGCACGCTGGAAGACAATTAACCCCTGAAGAACCTGACCCCACCGGCCACTCTGGTGATAAAGGCATTCTGTTCAAGAGGCTCCTGGGTTTCCACACATGAATTAAATCCAACACGGATCGCAGGCAAACAAAAATGTCTGATCAAAGAACCTGCTCAGAGAATCAAGGATCAGATCAGATCTTTTCTTTCTTTCTGTAGCATGCTGCAGATCTGGTGACCTGTAGCATGAATTTGGGGGTGCGCAGATCAGACAAAAAGAAGGACCCTGGGTCTTTTCCTAAAAAAACGAGAACCTGCTCCCTCCATCGCCGAGGGGGCGCACCAGCCCAGCCGCTGCGTCCAGGACGAGGAAGCGCGCGCCGCTCCTGACCTAGGTCGGCCCAGGACGTAGGGTTCAGTCCCAGGAACATGGGAATCGAAAAGAAATTGATGAATCAGGTGGCAAAAAGTTCCATTTCCTACAGCTGCTGGGAATGAATCTGGTGGAAAAAAGTCAGACTGGACGCATGGAAAACTGGGACGAAAAGTTGATATATAAAGGTCCCACGGGATGCCAGATTGTTGCTTCGAGAGGGGATGTTACTACATTTGAAGAAGTGTAATGATCCCAATGTTTGATGTTCTGATGTTTCCTTTCAAAGAATCCATTCGTCTGCAGAACTTGGACTGTTGGTCAGCTCTGTTGAGAGATGTTGAGGGCAAAGACCCAAACCAAAAAATAACATCCGTAAATGTGATATCTTGGACAAACTATGTCCACTCATTTGGTTCCTTCAATTATGCTGGTCATTGGCAAACCCAGCGAAGGACATTGGGGAGGCCCAAACGCCAGCACTGGTCGAACAATTCACCTCTTGTGCGTTTCACAGCAAGCACAGCCAAGCACGGCAAGCACTGTCCTTGTCCGAGCCCAGGGTGGCTACTGGGCTGTCCGGGCATCTGCTTGGCACAATAAGGACGATAAATAATCAAAGCGCAAGCCGCAAACCTGCTGGTCGGGTCGCTTCTGAAGCATGTTCAAACCCTCCACCCGGAAGGCGTTCTTGAATTCCCCAACCAGGTGCGAGTGTTCCTCGCTCGGCAGTTGGAAGGGCGACAGGAAGTGTCATCCAAATCAACAATCCCAGAGCCCCCCAAGTGACGTAGAATCTACGCCCTGGAAGATAAACATGGAACCTGAAAACCACGTCGGGCTGTCAAGGAACATCGTCTTCCGAAAGATCCTTCCCGTGATTTGGAGTGCGGGAAGGCTCCACGGTCGATTTTGTGCAGCTCTTGAGGTCCAAGAAGGGGAGGATTCAGGGCGCTGCACTGAGATGGAACCCATACCTTTTTTGCATGCACCAAGCTCGAAACCATTGGGGAAACATCTACAGGAAACCATGGTGTTCGCCCCCCAAAACTGTGTGTCTGCTGCAAATGTCCTCTTAAAACCAATTCTGGGAGGAAACCAGTTTAGAGCATGCATTCATGGAGCCTGCATGCCCAGTTCATCTTCTTGCCCTTTAATAAATCAAGTCCATGGAGCATTGCAACCACAGAGGTATACTTCCCAATGTTTGTGTGCTGTTGTAGCCTTTTCTGGACATGTCGTTTATTAAAAAAATCCTATATGCAGGAGGATGTCTTTACTACCTAAGGAGGTTGAACACTTCTGGCCTTCCCTGTTTTGGGGTTCTCTCACCCTGCAACCGCCACCAGGGACCACTGGAGTATTGTGATTTTCAGAACCGGCGGTTTCCAGCTGAAATCCAAGATCAGCATGAGTAGTGGTTGTTCAGTTCTAATCCTTGCTTTGTCTTTTTGTGTTAGAGCTAAACATGTCAGCAGTCTTCAGACCCGTGAGCGCATCTATATAATCTTGTAATTCCCAATTCCCTGGCCCACTCCTGTCAGAACGTCCCACGACGAATCCTTCAGTCAACTGGGGGCCTGTGTTGAGAGCCATGGCAGCATTTCACAACCAACAGTTGTGATATAACTCCCTTTGTAAGGCCTTTAAGCCTTTAAGCCGTTGGAGATCTTTAAGCAAGAGATTCCCAGCATCAGACCAGATCTACAGTCTATAGTCCACATTCATCTCCATGTACAGCCCTCCCACTCAGGACTCACCCACCTTGCTTCGAGACTGCTTGTAGTAGGTTTCACAAAGCTCCATAACTGAGGGTCTGAGCAAAGTCACCTGCATCGGCTGCACTCTACGAAAGCTGGATGCTGCAAGCTACAAGATGAAGACATGTATAGAATCTTTGGATACATTCCAAAAGAAAAATTGGTGTGGTAAAGGCGTCATCCTGAATGTTCAGTTCAGTGTCAAGCTGCGTTCAATATATTTGTTTGTATGGACAGAAGGAGTGGTGTTCTTTTGATGCATGGCACCAACTCCAACACCACCATGGTGGATCCACAAACTGGACAGACCTCGAATCAAGCCCTTCGCTCCGCCTTCCTAAGTGAGCATTTGGTTGGCCGGCCAAAAATTGTCTTTGGGATTTGTGCGAAGAGTTCTGAAGGAGTGCAAGTTGGACAGGAAATACAAACAATTTGGCGAGGGTAATGCACCATGTCTTTCATCAACAAAAACATGGGGTAAGGTGCCTGACTAGAGTGCCGGAGCCTGCTGCACATGTTTCTGCGCTTTCTTCTTGAGATACTTCTCCTGGTTCCCGCAACCCTGAACGAATCCTTGTGCCATTGACCTACCCCAGGCAATGGGCAGCTCAAAGTTTACGATAATGATATATAAGAGTTTGGGGTATTCTAAATTACACATTAGATATCTTAATCATTGATATCATAATGAATTTGTTACTGTCTTGTCAACGTCCAAAGGAAGACGGTCTGCAATGAAACGCACAAGACGAAAAAACTGCCGGACCTCTTGCACAATTCTTCCATCATTGGTTTCGAATGTTCTCCGGTTGTGTCAGAGACCCCTGACGTAGAAAATGAAGACAGATCTTTCGTGATCTTTCACTCCTTGGATTCGAGGGTTCCAATGGAATCACAAAGAAAAGCCCCGTCCCCTAGCTGTTGATGTCTTGCGTTGCCACCACGTCTGTGGAAGATGCACTCAACATGGGGGACCGACTCCTCTCACCGCTCCAACCGGCTCCTGGGCGAACTTGGTCTTGGATGCAAAGGTGGAACTATTGGACCTGACCACGTCGTCCCTACAACTGCCCTGACCGGTGGGAAGACCGGAGGATACAACGAAAGCGGAAAGCAGGAAAGACGGAAAGACTCAGAAAACACTGGGTAGTGCGAAGATTCCACCCACTCAACCGTTGGTGTCTAAATAAGGAACAGGCTGAAGTTCATGGTCAGGAATTCTTGCCACATCTTCAAGCAAAAACAACAATCGGTGCTTCTTCTCGAAGACGGACATGTTGTGTCACTCAACTTTGCTTGCAGAAAGCAGAGCCAGTCACTGCTAGTCACTGCGCCAGTCGCGCACGGAGAGAAGTTGCCACTTCTCCTGGCAAAGAGCTTTAGCAGCCGGGCACACACACAATGTCTCCAGCTACAGCTCCAGATTGATGGACTTGAGAGCGAAGAGGGTGTACCAGAGTGCGCCATCCAGTCTGAGTCTTGTGCGCTGTGCTTCTGCGCTTCTTCCAGGCCTTCGATGTGCTGAGCTTTCGGGACTGTGGCACGTCTTCCACCTCTTCTCCTAGAAGCCTGTGCAGATTCATACATACTGTAAATCTAAGCGTTCACTTGTATTGATTCTGCTGTGGCCCGCGGCGAATGCATGCTGTTCAGGTTTGGCGAGCTCCATCTTCAGGTTCGCAACCACTGCCTCTTGTTTGCATGCTTTGCCCTCATAGTCCTGGTTTACATGCCTCCAATGGCACCACTGATATTCCAACTGCATGCGAAAGAGGACTCTGCTGTCGTACAGACCTGCGCTTGCGCCTCACAAAACTCTCCAGCTTCCAGATGGCCGGCATCCAGTATGTCCCATCATTGCAGCTATGCAACAAGCTCTGACTGGCTCAATACTACCCGCAACTCAGGTTTCTTTACTTGTGGGCATCACCGTCTCTTCCGAAAATGATACATGCTGCAGAACCCAAGACCCAAGACGCGGTCTAGGCAGTGATGGGCATGTGCTGGAGTGGCGGCTGGTCACGTCCTGTGGAGTGGCGCCGGACCGGCCGCCACCAGCTTGTGAAGGTTCTATCAAACTGATCGGACGTCCAACGGGTGGCACTGCATGTGGTGAACAGACGTCTGAATGCGTTGGCTATCGCCGGCAAGCTCTGCAATCCTATACCAAACTGTAGCAACAGTCTGCAAAAATACATGTGGCTGTTGGAATGGCTCAGTGTCAACAACCCCTCCCACAGCTCCGTCTTCTTGACCAATGAAAAATACCAGATCCCGTCTGCATTTCCAAAAATAAATGGATGGATGGATGGCTGGATGGGTGGGCGGATGGGTGGATGGGCGGATGGGTGGATCGGGGGGTGTTCGAGGGGGTAGCAACCCCCTCGAATGGGTCAATGGAGGGGAGAGCGGATGGGTGGGTGGGTGGATGGGTGGATGGGCGGACGGAAGGAATGAAGGAATGAAGGAATGAAGGCATGAAGGAATGAAGGAATGAAGGCATGAAGGAAGGAAGGAAGGAAGGAAGGAAGGAAGGATGGATGGATGGATGGATGGATGGAAGGATGTGTTTGCCAGAGTCTGTCTTCAGACCGTATATAATGATCGAAAAACATCAGGGATGCGTCAGGTCAAATAAAATAACAGTCCATGATAGTCCATGCATGTCCACTGTCTTGGTCTCCACGCGCCAGCGCTTCCACCACTTCTTCCCCTGAACACCTCGTTTGGGTGTCCCAGGTCATGGAAAATGCTTCCTCGATTCCAGTGTCTGGACGAAACGAAAACATCAAAAAGACCTGACGTACGTAGCAAGCCCGGGCACTGTGGGATGGGATGTTGGGTTTTACGACCAAAACATCGCTCCAATGGGGAGGACGTGCTGTGTTTGCCGAATGGTGCTTCCAAATCCGCCGAGCTTGGCACTTTTGCTTCAAATCTCTCACTTCAGCGGGCGTGAGTGACTGGGCCTCAGAGGGTGTCGCCCTCGCGACAGTCGTGACCGAAAACAGCCAGCAGGTTTGGTCATGTTTGGTCCATTTCGATGCCCAAAAATGCCACCACCAGAAAGGTCGGCCGGTCACGTGACCGCCGTTGGCTTGTCAGGTCTTCCTCATCTGATATTCCGGCACCCCCGAAACCGAAGGAAACGTATTTTCAATTCCTCGGCCGTGGGGCACTATTGTCCTGTGCCAGGTGCTGGTTGTTCTCTTGAACCTGCGAAGAAAAGGGGCATAGCCAGGGCATGTTCCAGGGCATGTTCCAGGGCATGACTGGTTTGGGGTAATTCAACGATGGGGAACCTTAGCATACAGATATTGCATCGGTTTTTCCCTTGCATGATTTGACGTGTAAGTTTCGGGAATGCAATGCCACCGCTTCACTGTATGCTCGGCTCCCCTGGTGTCTGTTTGCTTGCATACTTATCACTCATCTGTCTTATCATATATATATATATATCTTATCATATATATAATTATCTATGTAGGAGTCCTATTTGTATCTTTTTGTTTCCTAATTTTGTTGATCCCACTCAGTGGAAGCTTTAACTTCCTCATCTGTCGACCATAACACTTGAAGAACTCATCCATCCTCGGCCCAATTCCCTGGACCTCGGTGGTCCGTGCGGAACCGTTCTGTGCATGGCATGGCTTACTGTCTCAAGACAGGGAAGAGACCACCAAATCATATCAAATCATGAAAAAGGGAGGAAGAAGTCAAAGATCACGATCCTTTCCAAAGTCTTTGTGGCCTACACTTGAAACATGATTTAAAATAACAACAGCACGGTCTGTGGCCCAGAAATGGGTTTGCCCCAAAACAGCGTGCGAAACCCAATCGAATGGTTCCAGACACCACCCAGAACGGATTTGTTCGGATCCACCTCCACCTTTTCCGTTGCCTCAACACCTTGGGAAGATCGGACATGGAGGAAAACACATCGAAACGTGTCTTCTCGCACAGTGTGGCTGGGGTCCAAAAACTCAGGGATAACCGCTTGAAATAGCTCATGCACGAAGAATGAGTGTACAAACCCTGTCCTTGGCAATGTACAGTCTTTGAGTCTTTGAGTGGGACATCTGTACGAGACAGGACCTGCCAAGCGGTTTTCTGTGTTTCTGACGTTCACATGTCACAGCGGTTCATAACGGTTCATCTTGTGAACGCCAAAAGGTTCAGTGGAGTGTTCAGTGTCGACCTAACACTGAAAACTCGGCGAGAACTTGCGATCTCACGTCTGAAAACCTGGTTCGCATGGGGTCGACAAAACGTCAAGATCTTCCACTCAATGTCAATTTCCATGGGATGACCAGGAAGTTCCGGTCGCTTCCAAAAAGTGATGTGTTGCTCCCACCACCATCCCAAGCGGCTTGCGCAGGCTGGTCTTGTTTGAGTCATCCAGCGTCTGACATGGTGGGTCAAAACCGTGGGCGTCAAATGAAAAGATTCCATCAGATTCCTCTATGTTCGGGATGTCCACCGAGGTTTGGTGGGTTGTTCGTGCGGACCTACACCCACCTTCCGTCCCACACCTCTGACGCTAGTGGCTGCACGTTTCGCATGAACGGGTACCTGCACTGAGCCTCCAGCTGTGTCTTTGGCGCTGCCATTTTCCATCTGCCTCACGCCTGCAGCGCTATCTATGCATCGGACGGTGTTCTCGCATGTTCTCGCCGCCCTCCCGGACGACTCCAACCAGCTCGCTGGGCAGAGCGGTCGGACGGGCCGTGACGGTCGGACTGGAGCGACCGGCATCCGGCAGCGTCCTTTTGGGTCGTTCAGGATGGAAGACCCTGCACCTCCAACCACTTGGTACTGAGAATAGACCGTTGGAAGAATGATGCAGAGGCAGCTGGCTGGATTTGGCTGGCAGAGTCCCTCATTTTTACTTTTGTGATGAGTGCAGCATTGGAATGCGCGAGATTAGATATATTACCATTACCCCTCTCTCAGGCAATGGAAGTAACAACAGATAAGCTACTATCCTGGACATATTCTTCATGGCCATCCGGAAATCGCACCGTGAGCTTGGTATTGTCAGCCAGAAAGTGCAACTGGATCAGCCCCACATGCCCGTGATATCGAGACCGCGGGGACCTCAATCGAACCCGTTGGCCAACAAAGAATCTTGGAAGAGCAGCTCCAACTTCAGTACGGAGATCCCAAATCACCAGACAGGGCGGTTCATACCACAAGGAAAGCTGGGAGTCCGGGAAGCACACTCGAACTCCGTTGGTCGCACCCGATCGACGATTCCAACCATTCCACAAAAACGATCCATGTACTCGAAGTAGTCATCGCGGTTTGCCGCATCAAAACCTTCGTTCCACCAGGTTCCTCTCAAGCACTTGCACATGGGGACGCCCACGAATTCCTCGCTCCAGGGAGAGATCGCAATTCTTGGCTGAGCACCCGAAGAAGGAAGGCATCTTATAATTATGCAACTCGTCCACTGCTTCGCAGCTTCTCTGATTGCCCAGCAGCTAGCGGACCACCAGTTGTTGCTCCACTGGAGGAGAGCGCAGTTCAATCGTTCCGACCCTCAAGTTGGAGATTGAGAAGCTGTTTGTGGCTCGTACTTTCTGTCCAGGGAAAAAACGTGTATCTGATGTGTCGTCTCGTCGAGGAGGAACACCCACATGAAATAAGCACATTGGTTCCAACCACACCTTCTTGGCCAAATTATCGAAAGACACCTCAATCCCGTTGGTTGCATGTTTGGCAGCTACCACTCCTTCTTGCCCTATAATTTGCCCTATTGTTGCTTCAGTCAAATCTATACGATTGACAGCATCAAAGGCACGGACGAGCTCCTCCCTTCCCTTCGCACACACACACGGCAGCCCAGTGGAAATCTTGACAAGCTCAAAGGGAGGAAGGACAGGAACTGATAGTGAAGCTGCTTGGTGCTCCCAACCCGCAAGATATCCAGCGGATAGCAATAGCCAGATAAGATGTGAAGGATCATCTCCACACCCAAGGAGTCTAACATAAGCAGTTCAGCTCTCTCAAAGCTTGCCAAGTCCATGAGCTGAAAAAAGAGGAGTGCCTACCGTGACTACTCAGTCAAAGCAACTATATAGTCGGCTGCTGTATCTCATGTGTCAGGTCATCAGTGTCTGTATCTCATCAGATTCAAACCTGGACCATGCGCTTGAGCCTCCGCTAGTGCAACGGCACCACTTGAGTAGTCCCAGCGCCCTGTGCAAAACCACAACTAGCAAGGGGTTGGGGAACTCCCTGTAGCTTTTTGGCTCCCTGTTTAACCCCCCTGGGGTTGGGGAACTCCCTCCGGAGCAAGAGCTAGACAAACACCACCTCAAATGCCTTCTTGTCGCTATTGACGATGTGTACAGAAGGTGGAGACTGATGAATTGATGTACTACAGCCAAAACCTGGTAGAGAACACCTGTAATTATATACTGATAAGATAGAATCCAATCCCTACACAAAACATCAGGAATTGGGGCCTGACGACCTCTGTTGAATGGCCTAGACCCTCGGCAAGCAGCTGTTGACCGAGATCTCTTGAAAAAAGAAGGTGCTCCGACGGTGCTCTCGCGCATCCCAAGATCAGTTGATCCCTCCAAATCCTTCGCTGATCGACCAGGGTAGTTGGTGGGCCGAGTTCGGCCACTCCGTTCGGCCCCCGAGGGGGACAGTCCTGTTCCACTGCCTTCATCATTTGTCCTCGATGTGTATCGTTGGGTCCTTCACTAGATCGATCCAATTTGTCCTGAAACACGACTGGTGGGGTCCTTAGACAAAGCTGTCCATTCGAAGTTGACGACATTCCTTCTATAGATCGATTCGACGCCCATTCACGTGACCTGTTTCGGCTGTTGACTGACTCTTAGCCAGCTGCTGGCAGTCACCACGTCTCAGCCGTGCCTCAAGACGGCGCCGTAGGGGGAATGGAGCACCATCTCAAAGGGGATGGGAGGATACCTCGGAGTTCGCTCGGTCGGCTCGGCTCGGCATCGGAAGGACGGTCATCTGGCGTTGCTTGGAGTGGGGGGAGTGCACGGCATGCACGGCGCCTCTGGAAAGATCCTGGATAGGAACGGGGATTGCTCACTTCGATAGCAAATCTTTGTCGAGGGAGACCTCAAAAAGCTCTTCACCTAGACCTATAGGCGAACTCTTCTTCAGCTCGAAACCGGGGGTGAACTGTTGAGAGTTGGTTTCCCGGCTCTTCGTTCGAGCCCCTGACTTCCCCATTCGCAGATCTGGCCGACTTCCAGCATTCAGGAAGAAGACCTGAGCGGATGCGATCGACTTTGTTTACTATGAGCTTCGATCCACGACTGGCGGGTTCTGTTCTTTTTAGGTTTTTTTATGGCTCACCATCATAACCAATGGTTCCACCTCAACACAGAACGATCATCCTCTGGTCATCTGTGGCGGCATGAAACGGAACTCACCACGGGTCGAAGCATCCCTTCGCAGCTCCGGAGAGCCGTTCGGCGCCACCCAAAACAGCTCAACCGCCGACAGCCGACAGCGTCTCAACGGCCGGAATGGCCCGGCGCGCACTCCCCAGGGGTCTGTCTCTGAAAAAACCAGGGTGCCATGCAGGTCTCAAAGCAAGAGACACCAGCCCAGGTTCTTTGGGAAACCCTCAGAATGCCAGAACTGATCCGGTCACCTGGTCGGAGTATGAGACCTGGTCGGGCCTGAATTCATATTCGGTCGAAGTAGCTCAGCATTCGGTAGAACATCGAATGCTGAGCGCTGGAAGTCACCAGTAATGTGTTACATGTCGATCCAACGTTGACTGTCCAATCTTCAGCGGCGTGAAGCTGCAAACGTCGTTCTTCACCCACCAACGTTGACTGATCTCGGTTTCTCCGGTCATCTTGGAGATCTTGGCACACCCCGAAACATTGAACTTTCATACCATTGGGCTGCTCTGCAACGCATCGACGTCCACCTTTTTCTGGGATGACCAGGTGAAAAAAAAAATACACATATCATATTGATGTCATATGTACAACCATCGCCAACCCCACCAACCAAAGGCTCCACCAACCGCGCTGGTCAACGCGACCTTCCGAATCGCCTCGCCGCTTCGCCGCTTCGGCCGCAGCGACCGTCCGACCTTCTGAGTGCCTTCGGAGTCGCGCAGCACCACATGAGACCCTGGAGATGGGCTCACCTGTGGACTCTGCACAGGTGGCTTCGGCCCATTCGGCACGTGTTGTGCGCACCGAGAGACCGGTGTTTCTGAGGGGAGACCAGTGGCAGGCAGTTCCTATAAGACTGCTGTGGACCCTTTGGGCGCGAAGGGATCAGGATTTGGGAGGTGTCAGGGTCGCACAGAAGTTGCACAGAAGTCCAAACGGTCAGTGGTATAATACCAACGAGAGGCCGTTGTTGAGAGATCAACTTTGACGCTGGAGCAAAAAGACTGCACTAGAAAACTATAACTCATGGTTGAGGATAGATTGGAATGGTGTTGGACTAGAGACTGGACACATGGAAGAGCGGGTGGAAGAACACTTCAGGTGACTGGACGTTCTTCGCTGAAGAAAGATCCAGAAATAACACTGCAGGAGTCACCAGCTGCCCTTGCACTAAGCTTGCTGCTTTCATGGCGATTCCAGCGATTCCACTACGTGCACCCTGCAGAAGGATCTCACGCACAGATGACAGTGTGTAATTGATTTTCTGAAAGTCCTTAGGCTTAGAATTATATAGATCTGGCCGGCCGGCCCGAATTTAGAGGCAACCAATGCATATATACACAGTATATATTACAATTATCCTAAACCGTGCGGGCCCTGGTCAACTCAATGAAGTCCACAAAAGTCGTGATCACCGCGCCGGAGTCTTGTGACGCCTATTGTTGCTCGAGCTGACTTTGGCTGCGCTCTTTCTCAGCTAAAAAGAAACGCATCCTCATCGAAACAAACACATTTCATTGCTGAGAAGTTTGATTGGATCATGAGAGGAAAGCACCACTGTCCAGACGAGTCCCCTTCGTCTCGCTCCAGACGAGTCCCGAGTCACGTGCTGTGGACAGGTTTTTGGACAACCAACTCCCAGGAGTTTCTGGATGTTTTTAGTTCATTCCAACCTTCGTCTGGATTGTCCTTTTGTACATCTGGAACCAACGGGCCACCCAACCCCTTCGAGATCTTTTCTGTCACGACTGTCTCGGAGCAATTCCCGCTCATTGAGCCGGGCTGTTTTTCATTGACCGCCTTTGGGACTGTTTCTTCCATGCTCTTGTGGCGCAAATCGCTTGTGGCAGCTGAAAGAAAACAGAACAACTCTTTTTTGTAGCCGAGTCGTCGCTCTCTATTGAAGGATTCCCCAGATGTCGTCAGAACTCTTTTGCCGGAACCTGCTCCCAACCGAACGGCAAGTACAAACGACCGACTAGGCGGCAAGTGGGTATGAGCCATCTATTTACAGTATCCCCATAGTCCGAACGGACATTCCTATATCTATATATCTATTATGTAAAATCTATATATCTATATCCTCCTTCATCCCCATTCAAACCACCAGAGTTCTCATGACTCAAAACTTCTCATAGGCCTCAGTTTACCCTCTCTGCTTGCGTTCAATGAGTCAGTAGTCTGCCAAGGATAAACTATTCTGCAACCAACAAGTACAATAGATTGTGTATTTATATATATATATATTCTAGTGCTTTCTTGGGTGTCCCTCACACATTGGAATTTAGCACCACAGCGAGCGACCGCGTCTATGTCAGCATCAGGTCTTCTATAAAGAACCCCTGGTTCCAGGGGTTCAGTCCAGCTGATCTTGCCAACTTTGCGTCGCTACATCCTCTGACAGTTGACATCGGTCAGCAGTGTGCATGAACTGTTTCGCTGCTTGATGTTGTGCATATGCGCTCCCCTCTCACAATAGTTTTTGATGTTTCTTGCATTCCATGATCGTTCCATTCTGAGAGGACCCAAATACAGATACAACTCAAACCTGAAGTCGTACTAGTCGAAGTCGTAGTGCAAAGATTGTAATTACGATACAGTATATTAAAACAGAGTGGCAACTGTCCATTCCCTCCTTCTCTGTACAATCTGTGCTTGCAAGTTGTTCCCAACCCGCTTTTTTGATCGCTGGACCCAACTCGGCTCAAGCCGAATCTGGACGTCTCTTGGCAAACCATGTTCCTAAACCTTCCTCTTGGCGGAAATACTGGAAATCCCGAGTGAGCCCTATTTTGAACCCCCGAACCACCCAAAGCCTTGCCTCTTTCTGATGAAAAGACGCGTCAAATTGCTTCTTATGGTATGAATTCGGCCTCAAACACCCCAGACATCCCCAGACTCTCCTGAATACGGCACCAGTTGGGAACAACAAGCCTTTTCGTGCTATCGATCTGTCCGGCCATGGTGGGAAGCCTTCAGGACCTGCTTTTCTCCCTGTGTGGCTCCCCTGGCCGACCTGTGGGGGAGGAAGCTCCGGTGCACTGGGAAGAAGCTGTGGTCGCTTTGGGTTGGCTCGGAGTGTTTCGGCTTTGCGCAGCCCCAAAGGCGGCGACCCTCTCTTCCAAACAGAGGACTGAAAAAAACACTTGGTATCATAGCTTCATTTGGACAGTTTCCATGATCGACAATGACTATTAAACTATCATGCATTGCTAAAATCAACCCAAACCCACAAAAGGAATGGTCTTGCAGTGTGCACCACGCGGCTTCAAAGGCTGTGAGCGGATCCAACAAAAATGAGACGTCGCACTCTGAGGCTCTCAGGTGCTTGTACATTCAATATTGTTTATAGATAGTTGAAGTGTGAAAAAGAGAAAACAAAAACAAGGACATGGTCTTTTGCTGTTTTTCCTCCCAGGCAGCACCACCCAGCCACCCGGGGTCGACCAGACCTCGGTCAGAATTGCAAGCTCACCTGGGCCGGGACCCGATGCGTTCGCTGTTGAGGCGGATGGATGAATGCATCACATCATGACTAACAACTGTCTTCCAACCTTCACCAGAGGTTGAAGGACCTGAAAAAAAACTTGATAGGTACCCCCAGGAAGGTCCCGGGTTCACCTTCCACCTCTCCTTCACAGTGAGGAACCCAGTTGTGTTCCTGTCTGCCGTGAGCCGTTCCAACCGAGACCAGCCGAACCCTCGGCGTTCGCCGCGACGTGTTCCGTTCCGTTCGTCGCGTCGCCGAACCGGGCGCCAGAACGGTCGGGGCATCGGCCCCTACGGTGGCAGAAAACAGGTGGTTTCAGCGACTTCCTGACCATTTATGATGGTGGAATCACCCCCAAGAACCGGTTGCCACGGGCAGTATGCCTCTGGCTTCGCATTCTTTCCACTGCCAACTCAGGAGCCAGTCTTAGGTGTTCCTTGACCCACTCCCACAAGAAAAGGACATCGGGATTATGCCTGTTCAATTGAAAAAAAAAACACCCGGTAGTTCATGGCAGCACTCCATGATTTGAAACCTGCCCAGATACGTTGCCACCTCATGACTCTTGGCGAATCGCAAGCATCAAACGGCAGCTCGGCCAGTGGCTGTTGGGACGGTTTGGCCAAGTCGTTGCACTGGCCTGGCCATTGGCCGCTCAAGAGCGATGGCCTCATCTTCAAGTGGCCCCCCTTCTTCCACTTACTGTAAACATATTGAACTAAGTCAGCAGTAGGCAGTAGTGATTATAAGCTTTTGAGATCTCATTATGATATCATGATCTCATTCGATGCTTTCTCCTACGCTTGGGAAAAAAAAAAAAAACGGCTTGCTGTGCTGCATTCTTCAAGATCGACTGCAGGGATCTCTTGACAGCTTTGCACGAGGCAAAGATCGAGTTTACGAGCTAAAAGAACCTCCAGCGATACCAGGAGCTTCAAACGTCACCTAAAAATGAGTACAATGGAGATTTGTAGCTTAAATCTGTTTGGGCCTGAAACGAACACATTTTGGAGAAACGCGCGGAAATGTGGGTTCTGCTGATCCCCAACAGCCATTTTGGCTACATGGGATTTGGGCCGCCGTATCTTTGAGGTGGGGTGTATGTTTGAGTGTGCACTGATCATCTCCAATGTACCTTAGATGCCCAAGCTCGGACAGGCGCAACGACGCGCAATGATGGTGGCATGATCTTTGGCCTTTGATTTGACTGATAAGGCAGGGTTTGCCATGGGTCAACGGTTTGCCCATCGAGCATCCCACTTGTGACCTATCACCCTTCTGTTTGCTCTCAGGGCCTGAGGGAATATACACTGGCTTTCTTGTGGGGGAGTTCAAGGAAGTCGATCTGACCTGTTTGTCAATGCATGACGTTGCCACAGCCTTTTGCTAGCTGTGACTTCAAGAGGTTTATGCACTTGTCACATGAGCGCTTTTCGAGCAACATTTCTTGCTGATCAGCTTTTTGTGGTGTTTTCGGGCTGCCATGGGAGCAGTTGCGGCAGAGTGGGAAAAAATGGAATGGCTGGTGACTCTCGCACAGAAAGGTGATCTAATCCACTATGTTAGCAAAGACGCTAACTTGTGTCGGCGCGACGTTGTGAACAACGCGGAGCTGTTGGGGCCTCTAATCCTTGAACTGGGCACTTCGTCTTAACATGTTTCGTGCAGCATGACTGCTTCTGTATATGCTTCATGGACCATGGACAGTATTTAAATTATTGGCCCAGTGTACCCGGCCTAGGCATGCGACCCTCAGTACACCAGATCCAGCAGTGTGTCGAGGAGTTTTTTTGGAGAGTGAGGCCTCGAGGAAAACCACCAGTCAATGGAACCTTGCATGCAACCATATAATAGCAGCATTCATGGAGAAAACTGTCGTTGGTCATAGGAAAGCATTGTCATTTCACACGCAGTCTTTCTCCAACCCGCTGCCTTTTCCCAGGAAGCATCATCAAGGGCCACGCGTGGGGTCTACGACGACTCGTGACCGAGTTCGCCCGTGCGGCTAGAAGGCCACACGTTCCACGCGAACCTGCAATGCGTGAATTGTACATTGCAGGGGGGGGTGCCGCTACCAGAGGGTTCCTTGCATGTGTTTATTTGCTGATGTTTCATGCTGTTTCCACTCCCCCTGAATTCAGCCCCTAACTTTGATGTTATCTTAGGGGAAGCTGCTGATGAAGCGGCAGCGGACAACATGGCCACCAACGAGTGTGGCGAAGAAGGGGGTGAAGAAGAACCATTGGATGATGATGAACACATTGACATTGAGGTGGGAAAGGGTAGGTCATGGTGGTTTTCTTTCGTTTCTTTCGACCCAGTGAGGATCATGCGCAGCCACCTCAACCCCATCCACCACCAGCCCTCAAGTGCCAGGTTACGGATAGTGTTGCGGATCTGCCTGCCGAAGTTGAGCTCCCACGTGGTCCTGATGGTGATGATGTCAGGCGAAAGCCATCGACATTAATGTCCCCAACACCCTCGACATGTGCTTTGTCTGCATGCCATGCTGTGCCTCCTTCACATGGCTTGTATGTTTGATGATCAACCTTCAAAATTTAGGTGATGGCGGGTCAACGACCGCAAAGTCAACGCCTTCTCCACGAGGCAACCGGATTCGATTGGGACAGACAGGGGTTGAGCTTAGTTAAACCTTTGAGCACTATCTAGACTGGTAGAACCGGATCCATTTTTTTGGCAGGTGTGCCAATTGCCCTGGTCACGCCGGACAAGTTGGATAAGCCCCACTT